CATTAAGGGATTAATTAACCTAGACAATTTATTACTCCTTAATCTAGATGCTAGGGTTGCAAGAATAGCTAGCTAGCTAAACTTTTAAAAGGAGAATACTAAGTGCAGGTATAAGCTAAGATTAAGAGTTAGCTTAGATAAAGCAGATAAGATTTAATTATTAATAGATATAAAAATAGCTGCTAAAATGTAGCTCTTCCTCTAGAAGAAGTATAGTAAGGTGCTTATAGTATATGCTATATTAATAGTATAACAACTTATAAACTTTAGAATAGGAGAGGAAGATATAGTAAGATTAGCCTAGGTATAGATTAGTTTAATAGCAAAGAGGATTGCAGAGGTTAATAAAAGGGAATTATATATAAAAGAACCTAAAAGGAAAATTAGGATCCTTCTTTTAGYACTCCCTCCTAAGTTTAAATTAACTAAGAATGCAATTATAGCCTAGCTAATGCTTGCTAGGAACTATAAATAGATCCTACTTATCCTTAAATCTTAGGAAGTAAGGGACCTCTATTATAGGGAGGACTTTATAATAGCAGCCTTTAGAAGGATAAGAATATACTTCCTCTATAATAGATAATACTTTATATAAGATTATTTATAGCTAGGAAAGGTAAAGAAAGCAATTAGACCTTAGGAAAATTTCCTATCTAGAAATAGGGATTCTCTAAAGCCTAAAAAAAGAAAGATCTCTAGTAAGAAATACTCCTCCTTTTTATTAAAGAGGATTAAGAAAAGAAGAGACTCTCTTAAAGAATTTAAGAAGGTAATAGAGGAAATAATTAGAAAAGAGGTTTCTAAATTTAGGAAAATAAGAAAGATTACTAAGAAAGCATTCCTTACTAAATAAGCCTAATCTAGGGAATTATCCCTAACCTTATTAAGTGCTACCTTATCCTAATTTAAGGAGGAAACTAATAAGATTGCATACTCTTCTTTAGAGGTAAAAGGCAAGTTAACCTCCTTAGAATAGTTACTAGACTCCTATGCCTTATTCTATATAACTAACTAACTATAACTCTTTAGATCTATAATTCTACTTTAAAGGAAGAAATAGATTAA